ACGCCATTAGAGAGAAAAACACTGAGAAAATCATCCAACAACTCCGTTTTAGCATTTCTGTCTTCCTCGTAAAGGGAACAACGACGTTTACTGCAAGTTACTGTTCTTCGAAAACTTGCATTCTATTTCAATCAATTTCAAATCCCCAAAATTTTGGTTTCGGAGTTGAAATTGGCGTTCTGGGTTTTCTTGGATACGAAGCTTATAATTTGCTGGTATGCTAATTTTTATTCATCTCTTTGAATTGTTTCCCAATTTTTGTTCTTGTTACTGATCTATCAGAGATTTCAGATTGAGATCTTAAGGTGTTTTTGCAGTTTTCTGGGTTTTACGAGGTTTTGAATGTTCGTCGATGTAAGGGTTTCGTTTCCGCCATGACCACTAAGCGCGCTTACAAGCTCCGTATCCTTTATTTGTTTATACCAAATTTTCATGTTTCTTAAGGATACTCTTTAGGGGGATTCTTTGTGGGAATCGTTGATTAACTCCAATGTCCGTGCTTAATCTGCTGCTTTTAGCTCTGGTTCACGAGATCTGTATGCACTTGTTAGCTTTATGTTTCTGTGACTTTTCGGTATCTTGTTAGTCAATTGCTTCTTTGAGTACGAGTTTTATCTGGGAGTATTGCCTTAGCCTTGACTTGTGTGAACCATTTGGAATTGAAAAGAGGAATTTGTGGCACATTCTGCTGCTGTAAACTGTCTTAAGATCGGGAGGAAGACATCGAGGGTTCTTGTAACAGGTGGGGAAGATCACAAGGTTAATCTATGGGCTATCGGTAAGCCCAATGCCACTCTGGTCAGTTCTTACTTCTCCCTCCATTGCTTCTATTGCGGAATGCTGTTGGTAGATTGTGAGTTAGTTTTAGGGGAAATGGGGCACACTTTAGATATAATGTAGTAGAGCGGTTGGAAGATTTTCTGTCTGAGTGTCTACTTGTGGGTGTGGTCAGAGCTTGTATGGGCACTCGAGCGGGATTGATTCAGTAACGTTTGATGATTCGGAACGCTTAGTAGCCGCAGGAGCTGCTAGTGGTACGATCAAACTTTGGGATCTGGAGGAGGCAAAGAGTAAGTTAGTAGTTCTATGATCTGAAATTCTCTTCTCATTTTCCGTTAGTTGCCACTCCCAGCTCTTGTATATTATGCTGAATATGTTATTTTGGTTGCACCTATGAGTAGTTGTCAGGACTCTCACTGGTCACAGGTCGAATTGCATATCCGTGAATTTTCACCCGTTTGGTGAGTTTTTTGCTTCTGGTTCTCGAGACACAAATCTTAAGATATGGGATATAAGAAAGAAGGGCTGCATCCATACTTACAAGGGTCACACTCGAGGGGTCACAGTACTCAGATTCACCCCAGATGGTCGTTGGGTTGTATCTGGAGGAGAAGACAATGTTGTGAAGGTTTGTAGCTGCCTTCCTTCCATTGGCTGTTTTTCCTTTCGTAGTATGTATTGGTGAGGAGAACAGCTGGGGAGTCAAGTTGTTAGAATTAAAAAGAAAATGTCTTGAGGATATTTTAAAGAAAATTACCCCATTTTGTTTAATAGACATAAATTGGTGGTGAGAGATGGTAGTCCTTTATGAAAGAAACATATCTTTGTTATAATCTGCCTTTCTTTATGTAGTGTCATGGACAAATATTTCAAACTAGGTTCTTTATGTATGGATGAGAACATGCAATTATTTAATGTTACCTCTCTGCGGCTGACCTTATTACCCTAGGGAAGAACATTTGCTAGGTGCTAAAACGCTCATACTACCTGATTAACTTAGATGCTTAGATCATCTGGCTTTCCTATATCTCTTTAAATTAAAGATTTGTTTCATCTCACAGTTTGCAGTGCTTACTGTACTTGTTATCTTAAAAAGCCACTACCTGCATTTTTTATTTCTCTCTTAGCGTTGGATCCTGTGATCTAATATGTGGTTTTCCTTCACCAGGTATGGGATTTGACAGCTGGAAAACTGTTGCATGAGTTTAAGAGTCATGAAGGGCAGATTCAGAGTCTAGATTTTCATCCACATGAATTTCTACTGGCAACAGGTTTGTATCACTTTCTAGGGACTTTGTAACATTGAAGCTCTCAGGTTTTTTGGTGACAAAGATTTATCACAATGATATGACCGCAAATTTATGTTTAAAGCTAAGAGTGATATGAGCACAATTACAGGGTGTAACCAACCCAGGCATCATTAGATCACTGTTGTGTTATCTTCTTTTAGTAACTCACATATAGAGAGAGTGATATTCATATATGTTGCTAGAGAACAATAAGGTTCCCGTTGACTTGTCTTTTGTTTCCATTGGGCCTCTCTCTTTAGGCGAAAAGGACTTCGGTAGAGGCTATTTCTTTTTACGGCATCATTTTCCTTAATTCTCAGATGGATTTTTTTTTGCCTGTGGTAATAGGTTCAGCTGATAAGACTGTAAAATTCTGGGATCTTGAAACATTCGAGCTTATTGGTTCTGGTGCAACTGAGGTATCATGTGTTGTGTGTACTACTTCCAGTTATGCGCTGAGTCGATTTAGTGGTATTCAATCTTTCCTTCAACTTTCTAATATTCTCATTTCTTAGACAACTGGGGTCCGTTGCCTGGCCTTCAATCCAGACGGAAAGAGTGTGCTTTGTGGATTGCAAGAAAGTGTCAAGGTAAGTTCTTCTGGATGTCCCATTTAGAATATATGAACTACTAATCCCTCTTTGGAGGATTTAACACTTATGTTTAATTCTTTGCAATCTTAATATACATGTTTGCTGTCTTTTCTTCACTAACTCCCATGCACATTGTAGATTTTCTCATGGGAGCCAATAAGATGTCATGATGGAGTGGATGTTGGATGGTCAAACTTGTCGGATATGAATGTTCACGAGGGAAAGCTTCTTGGTTGCTCATACAATCAAAATTGCGTTGGCGTGTGGGTTGTAGACCTCTCGGTATTTCTCTCTCTCCCTACATTAGTTGTTATAGTTTGGCTTGTTCTGTAGGTGTTATCTCTAAGACTCCATTCAATTTCTAATGACATTCTCAGCGCACTGAGCCTATGAGTGGAGGTGCCACTCAGTCAAATTTTCATCCAGAGAACACACCGGGCTCAGGCAGAGATCCAGCAGTTTTGAACGATAACAGCTCAAAGGTTATTCTCGGAAAGTTGCCTGGTTCCCAGAAAGTGGACCCTTTATTAAAGGAAACAAAGCCTCTTGGAAGATTATCAATTTCTCAAAGCTCGGATCCTTTGGCAAAGGAAACAAAGCCTACTGGAAGGTCATCAGTATCTCAAAGTTCAGATTCTTTGGTAAAGGAACCAAAGTCTTTCGGAAGGTTGTCAGTTACTCATAGCTCAGACGCAGTTAAAGAATCAAGAACCTTGTCATGTATG